AATTTCAAACTAGAAGAGGGGCGTGGAATGACTGAAAAAAAAAAAAAAGCTGTTCAATCCAAAAGGATAAAGCAGAAAAAACCCTACGGGGGCCTCTGGGAGGCTCAGTTAGTTAAGGGTCTGACTCTTGATTTTGGCTCAGGTAATGATCTCATGGTTCCGGAGTTTGAGTCCTGAGTCGGGCTCTGTGCTGACAGCTCAGAACCTACTTGAGATTCTCTCTCTCTCCCTCTCTCTCTGCCCCTCTCCCATTCACAGGCTCACTCTCTCAAAATAAATAAACTTAAACCCATAAACACAGATAGGACAATACACAACAAAATAAGGTGATAGATTTAATTACATTAGATGCAAATGAACATACTGCTTCAGTTTAAAAAAGGTATGTCCTATATGCTAGAAACAAAATGAAATGAAAAACATGTACAATTTGCAATAGACTAAAAGAATATAAAGTATCTATGAATCAAATCTAACAAAACCTGAGCAAGATCATAATGGACAAAATCATGAAATCCTATTGGCAAACCTTAAAAAAGACTCAAATTAATAGTGAAGTAGACCATGTTGATGAGTCAAAAGACTCAGTGTTGTAAAGATGTCAATTTTCTCCAAGCCGATTTACAGCTATAATGAATTTCCAATCAGAAAGATCAGCTGAGCGATGCCTGGGTGGCTTAGTCGGTTAAGCATCCAACTCTGGTTTGGGCTCAGGTCACGCACGATCTCACGGTTCATGGGATCAAGCCCCATGTCGGGCTCTTTGCTGACAGTGCAAAGCCTGTTTGGGATTCTCTCTCTCCCTCTCTCTCTGCCCTTCCCCTGCTTGTGCATGAGTGCTCTCGCTCTCTCTCAAAATAAATAAACTTAAAAAGATCAGCTGAGTTATTACTGACACTGATGAGCTGACTTTAAAACTTATGTGAAAAAGAAAGTGGGAGAAAAAATTCACATGGAAATAGAAAGGGCCACAATAGCCAAGACACTCTCAACGAAGACAATAAGGTGAGGACTTAGCAGATAACAAGACATAATCTAGTGACAGCAACTAAGATAGCTGCTATTGGCAAGGGATCGAGTGACAAATGGAACAGAACAAAGTCCAACAGACCTACGTATATACGGACATGTCACAGGTGGCATTGCAGATGGTGGGGGGAGAGCAGGTTATAAACAAACGGTGCCGGAAGAAGTGGGTAAACTTATGGGGAAAAAAATAGAAGTGAACCCTTACCTCTCACCATAAGCAAAAGAACAATTACAGAGTTGGAGAAGATATTTGCACCACACATTACCGACAATATCAAGGCTCCATAAAGAATTTGTATAGATTAACAAGAAAAAGGAACAACAGAAAATTGTGCAAAATATGTAAATAGACACTTCATAGGAGACAAATCCCAATGGTTAATAAACACATGAAAATATGCTTAAGCTCATTAGTAATCAGCTAAATGCAAATTAAAGCCATAATTATACACCCACCAAATTGACAAAAATGAAAAAAAAATCTGACAATACCAAGTGTCGGCACCGTTGTGGAACTGAGGGAACTATCTTTTTACTGCTGGTGGGAGTGTAAACTAGAACAGTAAAATTCCTGGAAAACAGTTAAAGGCCCCGATCCCCTAAAAGCCAGGAGTGAGCCTCCGGAGTACATAACCCGGAGAAACTCATGACCCACGGAAAAGATTGTTGCTAGCAGCATTGTCTGGGATTGCCCCAAACTGGAAACAAACCAAATGTCCATCTACAATAAAATGGTCCCTGAACTATGGTACACTTACATAATGGAACAGTTTTTAGCAATGAACTTTAACTACAGCTATGTCCAGCAGCATGGACAAATCTCAAAGACATAGCGAGCAAAAGAAGCCAGATGTCAAAGCTTTCATCAGTGGGATTCCATTCCATAAAATAACAAAAACAGGAAATCACTGCAATGGATGTGCCGTTGAGTGAAGGCTTTATAGCAAAACAAGAACATGAGCCTCACCAGAGCCAGGGCAGGGGGCTAAGACAGGGAAGGTGGTGCTGTGACGGGGGGCACGTGGGACGCCAGACAGGCTACCTCTTGATGGGATCGTAAAGACGTTCACTTCATAGTGATTTGTTAGGCTGCACATGTGTGTTTTGCTCATTTTTCTGAGTGTGTGTTTTACTCTATGGGAAAAGAAAGAAAAAAAAGGAGCACGCTTCAGCTCGGGGAAGCACAGAGCATGGCGAGGGCTGAAGCCGGAGGGTGACGCAGGGGCAGCTGCTAGGCAGCCTCTAAGGATTCGTGAGGAGCAAAGGAAGGTCTGAAGGAAGCAGATGTGTCTGGGGTCAGCTTTGTGCGTCAAGACTCCCTCTGGTGGGAATGTGCCAGAAGGGAGCTTAATGGGGGATGGTCATTACCAACCATCTTCGAGGGTCACTGCCCCCCGGACAGGAGCCCTCCCCCGGGACCCCCATCAGGCCATCCTTTCCAGGGGGAGGGATAGGGCATGTGGGCACAGACACAGGAGACTAGACATGGCAAGGAGCCTGGTGAGGGGCTCCGTGCCTCGGGGTCACGGCCAGAGACGGAGGCCCTCCCCTCACTGCCCTCCTCTGGACACTCGGCTCCTCTGGACCCCCTTGGCCCCGAGCAGCTGCCTCTTCTTCCCTGGTGCCCCATCGGAGCGGCCCGTCACTACAGGGGGGCGGGGGCGGGGACACCTCCTTGGACCAGAAGGGGGCGTCCTCGCAACGCGCCCCAGAGTTGGGGCAGGGACTAGAGCAACTCCGCACTTGCTCTGTGAGGTCCTCTGGCTCTAAGAGCATCTCCCTTTACGATGGGAGTCCCTATTGCCCGAAGGTAGAGAAGCTCACCGCACTCTTTGGGATCAACTGTAAGAAAACTAAACCCATGTTCCGTCTTCCACTTGGAGAACTTCCCAAAGGGTCTGGGCCGGGAGTTGGACCGGTCTCTGAACCCACCATGATGCCGGACAAGGCAATGAAGCCTCTCTGAGCCTCAGTTTCCCTACCTGTAAGATGAGGAAGCAGGCTAGCCCCTGGAGCAGGTCCCAGGCCTCCTATTTATCCCCCTGACTGGGCCCAGAGGGCAGGGCAGAGGGAGACAGGCCAGGTCTGTTCCCCCCAGGGCTGTGGCCCCCTCAGCTTGGTCAGGGCACACCCAAGAACTGTGTAGACTCCCCAGAGGACTATCAGAAGCCCCCAGGGGGGACGGAGAGGTAGCCAGGGGCTGGGGGCTGGGCTCAGAGCAGCAAAGGACAGGTCACAAGGCAATCAGTGGCAGAGCTGGAACTTGAATCCAGGCTTCTCTGATCCTCTGTTTTCTCTCCTATAAAACAGGCACATAGCAGCAGCTTCTCCATCCAAACTATGTCAAGTACCCATGGGGCTCCGTGCCTGGAATAACCACCCTCCAACATTGTATGAGGAATGGAACATTCACAGCAGGTCTCAGGAGGGAGTGGATCCCCCCCCCGGCCCCTCCTTTATGCTGAAGACCATGCCTGCAGCCCCGTCAGACACCCCAAACACACACTGTTACTACTGAGGGCTTGGGCCCCTCGGTCGGTTCAGAGGTGGGAGCCCGTCCCCAGCAGGCGTAGGGCCCAGGAGAGGTAAAGCCAGCCCAGTCCCTGGGGTGGGCCTCGGGCGGGGACGGGCCTCATTCGTCCAAGTGAGCAGAGGACCTATCGCCAGGCTCTGGGCCCCAGAGCCCCCCAGACTTTCCATCAGGGGTCTTTAAGTACGTTGAGGCATCCCGCACCCTGCAGTGGGGACATGTGGCCACAGGTCCGCAGGAAACGCCAAGGCGTCCCGCGCCCCACAGCGGGGACACGTGGTCCCGCACCCTGCAGCGCATCACCCACAGGGCAATTCCAGGCACAGACTGCAAACAGCTCTTCTGCTCCATGCCCCACGGAACCGTTTTTCCAGGAAGGGGGGCCGCAGCCACGGTGGGGATGGTGGGCCTCGTGGGCCTCCCCACACGAGTGCTGAGAGGGGCAAGAGTCGCAGCCGAAGGGACTGCCCCTTCCCAGGCGGGAGGTGGCCTGCACGGACGGTGCCTGTGCTGTCCCCTCCCTGGCAGGCTTCAGGGGAAGCAGCTACACAGCCAGAGTCGCACATAGACAGTGTCCCTAGAAGGCACCTCTCAGTAACCTGGGGCTGCAGGTTCTGACAGCCAGCCTCCCCACCCCTCCCCCACAGCCAGCCTCCCCACCCCCAAAACATGCCCGGGGCACATGGCGGGAAGTCCAAGCAAAGCGGATGATTAATCCCTGGCCTGGCGTGAGTGCTGTGCTGGGTTTGGATCTCACACAGCAAACTTCTTTCCCAACATAAGGTGCAGAGAAGATCTGACGACCCTGGGGTCCCTCCCTGCCAGCCCCGACCCTAAGTAGGGTCTGTTTCCACACCACACACAAAGCCAGCCTGGATGGCCATGCGGGGGAGCACCTGTGGGATTCCATAGCAGGAAGGGAGGGGGAGGGAGGGCTGGACTTGAGCTGGGTGTTGCATCTGGGAACCACCATCTCCACCCACTCAGCCGACTCAGGGCCCACTCTTCCCGCCCCCCTGTAGCCATCACTTCCTCCAAGAAGTCTTCCTGGAGCCCTCAGTGGGGTTCTAGCTCCCCACCCGGGCACATCCCCCTGCCCTGGCCCGTGTGCGCTCAGCTGTCTCCCAGTGACCGTCTGTTAATCCTGCAAATGACCCGCCTGTACATGTGGGCACCTTTTAGCTCTGCAGTCCCATTGCCTTGCCCCTGACCTGTGGCACTTCAGAGTACAGGCTCTGAATCCAGCCCGTCCAAGGTCAGGTCCTGCTCTGTTACCGGCTATGCACCCAGAGCAAGTCATCGAGGGGCCTCAGCCCCGGAAGACAAGCACCCCTTAGGCGTCCCGGAAGCTGGGCTGCTGCAGCCCGCACTTGGATGTGGGTGCGGGCATTCAGTGAGGCTGGTCACCCCCTCCTTTCCAACGAAGCCCCAGCCACGGACGCAAAGGCCATGTGTGCTTTATTGTATATCAACGGCCCATCCTGGAGCCTGCGTCTTAGCGTTCCTGGGGGTGTCGGTCCTGGGGGGCCAGCCCCTGCCCCAACCCCAAGTGCCCCAGCCCTGCCCAGCTCCCAACCCAGTACCCGGTCAGTGTGCTGGGGGAGCGGGGAGGGGTGGGGGTGACCGGAATTCTTGTCCACAAAGCCCAGGCGGGGCTCGGTCCTGGGGCCCTGGGCTCCTGGGAGGTGGGACAGGGCGGGCTGCGAGGGACAGGAAAGCCCCCCTATCCTCTGGAGCCCGGAGCTTGGCCAGCCCCGGGGACCCAGCCTGCTGAGTGGGGCCTGGCCCGGCAGATTCCACAAGGCCCTGGATCAGAGCACGTGCTCACTCCAGCTCATGCTCCCGGGAGAGCCCAGCTCGACTGCAGGACCCGGGGTCACCGCCCCAGCAGGTGTCTCTGCCGGGCAGCAGGGGTGACAGGGGTCACCTGGGCCTCGTGTAGCCGTAGGGGCGCTGCAGCCGCAGGCTCTGGTGGCTGGGCAGCACGTGGGTATGGTAGTGTTCCACGAGGCTGCCCACGCTCACAAACAGGAGCTCGCCCTCCAGGTAGAACTTGGAGTCCTGGGAAGGGGAGGGAGGCCAGGGTCAGGGGGGCCGAGTCCCGGGAAGGGGAGGGAGGGCAGGGTCAGGGGGGNATTTATAATCATATCTCTCGCTGAAGGCAATTTTCCTTCAGTTTCCTAACTGGGTTATCTATGTCTGTTCTGAATTTTAAGAGACGTAAATCTCCCACTTTTATGACAATATTTGATATATTTGTTTTACCTCAAAAATGTTAAACATACCTCTTAAGCTCACACATGTACATTAATAATATGACGCTACATTAATAATATGACGCTAGTAATAGTTAACTTTGATGTACCCTAGGTGTCAGATATAAACACTGTACTCACAGTGGTAACTCACTATATAATTCTCCAAGGCTCTGTGAAGGAAGTAGTTTTTAGTTATCACGGATGACGAAACTGACGCAGAGAGAGGAGGGCTCAAGTTGCCCAACTCTGAAAATCTGATAAAGGATGAAATAAGAATCCACTAATCTCACCCCTTATGCTATAACATACCCACAGCTTTAATTTAATAATATTAATGATGATGATAATGGATTCCCTAACTGGAATACACACACAGGAGATAGAAGAAAGCAACAGGCGATAATATGATATGTATTTTCACTAACGACAGAAGGAAGTAGTCCGGAGCTCTGGTGGGTGAGCTGTTTGTGTCAGTGACTCAAACGTCATGAGTAATGTTGGAATTTTTCTGAAATTGTTAACAACTCTTGGTACATTTCCAAACAAGTAAATGATAATTTTCCCTCTAATTACTTGGCAGCTGGATTCCTGGAAAATTCAGAGCCTATTAAAACTGTGTGTGGGGGAGTGGTGGGGAGGGAAGAATACTCTTTGAGTTTAGATATAAAATGGAGTTAAGTTCTAGATCGATAGTTATTGAGAGCTTGTTCTTTTCTTTTTCTTTTATTTTTTTTTAAATATTTTTTTTTATTATTTATTTCTAGGAGAGAGAGAGCGTGAGCAGGGGAGGGTCAGAGAGAGAGGGAGTCACAGACTGAAACAGGCTCCAGGCTCTGAGCTGGCAGTCAGCACAGAGCCCGATGCGGGGCTCGAACCCACGAACCGCGAGATCATGACCTGAGCCAAAGTCGGATGCTTAACCGACTAAGCCACCCAGGCGTCCCAAGGGTCCAACTCTTGATTTAGGCTCAGGTCATGATCTGGTGGTTCATAAGATGGAGCCCCACCTCAGGCTCTAGGCTGACGGGGGGAGCCTGCTTGGGATTCTCTCTCTCCTCTCCCTGGCCCTTCCTTGCTCGGAGCATGTTCTTTCTCTCTCTCTCTCAAAAAAAGTAAACAACAAAAAACAACCCAGCCCCATAGAGTTCCGGGCCCCCCAGCACTCCCAGCTTGCAGCCGGTATTCAGGTCCTGAGAACAGATGGGGGAGGGGCTGTCGGGCAGAGACCCCAAGGACAGAGCTGGTTGAGATGCGAAATAAGAGGCTGCGCGGGGAGGTGACGTACGTGCCGTAAAGCGTGCCGTCAGCCCCGGAGTGTGCAGAGCCAGAAGGCCCCACGCCGCGGCAGTCCCCAGGGGGCCTTTGCTCAGCAGGGTGACTGTCAGGGCACCTACCTTCCCCGACTTGGTGGAAGAGTTACGGATGCAGTAGAGTCCATCCTGGGGCTCTCCCTGGGGGCTTGTGGCTTTGAACAGCCTAAAAGAACACAGCGACATCAGCACCCCACCCGCAGACAACCTCTCGGGGGCCCTCCAGCCCCACTCCTCGGGGCGGGTTTTGTCTTCTTGCTATTCTGCAGCACAGGGCCCGAGAGCAGTGGGTGCTGTGCAGGGCTTAGGGCCCTGCCCAGGGTGATGGCAGCACTGGGACTGAGCTGATGGCATCGCTGTTTGGCTGGCCTCCGCACTCTGCTCAGGGCCACGCACCTGCATAGCGACTGCCCAGCACCAAAGCGGGTTATGGGGGACAGAAAGGCAAAAGCGTCTGCAAAAGCAGGGATTAGGAGAAAGAAGGGTTTTGTACTGACCTTTCCACCTCGCAGGATTCCGTGGTATTGACAAAGACGGAGTTGGGCAAGGGCACCTGGAGAGAGGCCAACGGCAGTCGGGGTCAGGGTCTGAGCCAGCCCTCCCCCGGCCCCCTGCCCCCTGCGGGCTGCCAGCCTTGTGCCCAGATCTGGGGCTGTGCCCACGCTCACGTTCCCAGCAACTTCAGTGTCCTGGGGGCCCGTCCCTGGAGGTGGCCGGGGAGAGGCCACCCGGCCCGCAGCCCGCCCACGGCCGCCTGCCCAGTGCCAGGATCCGGGGCTCCCCATGGCCTCACCTTCTCGTAGTCATCGTCAGAGCCCTCTGCACCCGTGTCCTCAGGCTTCGAGGGTTGTCGGGGCTTCTCAAAGGAGAAGCTCCGGAAACTCTGCCCGTCAGGGGGTGACCGCCTTGGGAGGGGAGCAAGCAGAGGAAGGGACATCAGTGTCACACCCCTGCACGCCACCCCCACATGCCCCGGGGCTGCAGCCCAGGAGCTGAGCCAGGCCTGTGTTGGCTGCAACACGGGAACAGGCTGGTGACGGGGGCCGCCGACGCTGCCAACGCCACCGGCCAGAGTGTCCCGGAGGCCTGAACTCTGGCGTTGGGGTCACACCGCAGACACGTACTCTGGGCGCCGTGGGAGAAGGCCCCGGGCCGGGGTCTCAGCACCAGCTCTGCAGCTAACCAGCTTGTGACCTTGGCCAAGCCAGGTCCCTCCCAAAGCCACAGAGAATGGATGCATGTGAATGCGTGGAGGCCGCGACAGAGCCCACACGCGCAGCCAGGTGGTCCGAAGCCTCTCTGGTTTCAGAGAGGACTGAAGGAGGCCACACGGGGCTGGGCTGCTGGGCTGTGGCCCCGGCACGCAGCCCTGTAGCACTTAGCAAACCGACCCGGCCTGCACCACCATGGCCGCTTGGGAAGAGGCTCCTCCCAGGCACCCTACTACGGGCAGCACAACTAAGAGAGTCCAAGGGAGGGGAGAGCCAGGCCAAAGGCGTTCCGGGAACGAGCACGGGGTCAGCATGCCCACACGAGGCTCCTCCCTGTGGCTCCCAGAGCCTTCGCTCTTCAGGGCCCCGGACATCCTTGAGCACAGGCTGCTGGTACGAATGGCCCTGCAATGGCCCTGCGGGAGCAGGGGACACCCATCCCCTGATGCAGCCCAGCAATAAAAAAGAAAGTGCTTCAGGCGGACCTCAGGATGAGTCACCAACATACTCCACATTCTGGCAAGTTCCCAAGCAGGGAGAGCACAAAGGCAGCCTTGGTGGCTCAAGAGCCCCAGGCCGGGCTGGAAGAACAGCTGTGGCGGGAGGGCCCGGCCCAGCTCCCACCCCTCCCACCTACCCCAGGCCGGGCAGCCCTGCAGGCCTCTCCCTTAACCCCTGCAGGCTCCTCGGACAGCCCAGCACGGGACGTGGGAAGCCAGTTTCCCCGAAGACCCTCCTTGCCCACTGCTCCCCCGGCACCCACAGGCTCCAAGCCCACCGCCCACTGGACAGGACATGCCTCCAGGGCGAGGTGGGTCAGGTGCAGAGACGACTGCTCCACAGACCCAGGCCGGGGCTGTCCAGGAGCCTTCCCCCCTGTGCCAGGGCTGCCGGGGACCTGTCTCGGACAGGGTGCCAGAGGCGGGGTGCCAGGGCACCGGCAGGAGGACCCATCAGGTTGGGGAGGCCCCCCAGGGGCACGAGGGCCAAGTGAACTCACTGGAGGTTGGGGAGGGGGGGCTTCTCTGGCCTGGGCAGGACGGCGGGCCGGCCGGCGGCCTCGGGCATGGGCAGCTTCAGCACAGGGGGCCTGGGGGCCACGGGGGGCACAAAGAGTCCGGGCCTGGCCGCCTCCCTTGGGGGGGCCTCTTCAGCCGTCTTCAAGAGCTTGGGCTTGTTGGCCGGCACCGGGGGCGGCTCGGGCGTGGGTGGCCCCCGGGGGGACAGATGGAAGGACTTGAGCTTGTCACAGTTCCTGGAGGAGGCAGCGGCCACGCCGGCGGAGCTGGAGGCAGAGCCAGCCCCGTGGCTGGGGACCCGGGGCTCCGGGCTGGGGCTCTCACGGAAGCAAGGGGGTTTCCGGAGGCTGGGCCCGGTTGGCAGGCTGCCCAGCGGGGGGTCGCTCATCCTCCGGGAGGCAGGGGGCACCCTGAGGCCAGGCTCGGGCCGTCTCGGGCCCAGCAGGTCCCTCTTGGAGTCCTCAGGGGCCAGGCCAGCATCCGGGAGGCCACGCTTTGGGGGCGGCGGTGGCAGCAGAGGGCTTGGGCCCTTGGAGGCAAACGAGTGGGCACGGGGCACGTCGGAGAAGGCTGGCTTCCTGGGCGTGGGCACAGGAGGCGGGGGGTAGGCCGGCGGGTGGGTCAGAGTGTCTGCAGAGCAACGAGACCCAGTCGGTGAGCAAGGGTGGCTGCTGGCCGCTGGACCAACACCACCCACCACCCGCACGGCCCGGCCTGCCTCACCCACCCCCCCGGAAGCAGCCCGACAGAGGCCTAGATGTCACATCAGGAGCCATCAGGTCCCAGAAGCGGAAGCAGAGAGAAGAGGCAAGGCGGACTCCTAGGACCTGACGTCAGCCAGGGGAGGCTCTAACTCCCCCCACGGAGGTGCAGGCTGGAGGGGAGGGCTGTGTGTGTGCGCGCTACGAGACGCCTTGTGGGCACGGGTCTGGGGCTCAGAGACGTGCTGGATGGAGATGCCAGAGTCAGCAGGCTGTGACACGGCTGTCTCGCGGTGCGAGACTGGTGGGAGAGGAAGGAGCCAGGCCTGAGCCCCAGGGCGGCCGGGGTCGTGCTGATGGGCATCAGGGGGCCGGTACAGGGCTGACTGAGGCGGGGGATCTAGAGCACAGGGCACCTAGTGCCGAGCGAGGCGGCTGAGGAGCAGGGGCCTGGCACCAGGCTGGGCTCCACTCACAGGTGCTGAGGGCTGCATCTGGGGACGGGGAAGTCGCTGGAACCCTAGTAAGAAGGTTTTGGGGACAGGGAGGGAAAGCCTGCCTGCAGGGAGCACTCAGAAGGGCGCGTGCAGGCAGGTCTGCAAGAGCACCGGCCCTGAAGGTGCACGGCTGGGGCGAGGCGAGGCCCCGCGTGCTCACCCCCAGCCACGAGTGGCCACAGTTCAGGGGTGGGGCACAGGGACTGGGGATGGAGCCGTGGGCTCTGTGCCAGGAGGCCTGGTGGTGGCCGCAAAGGGAGGGGCCGGTAGGAGGGAAGGGGCTGGACCTGCTTCTCTTGAGAGGGACTCAGGGCTGAGGTGGGCAGAAGACGAGGTCGTTGGAGGAGAGGAGGCAGAGACACAGGGAGGCCGGGGGCTGAGGGTTTGTCCCAAGTCCCCAGGACAGTGGAAGGGATAGTGAGTGACGGGCACAGCCCTCTCCCGTTGGCCCTACGCTTTGCTGTAGCGCATACATGCGATGCCTCGATGCCTCGTACAAGCCTGTCTCTCTTGCCGGGGAGGGGAGGTTGGGTGGGAGTGGGTGGGTAAGTGGCAGGCTGCCTGCCCCGGCCCCGCCCACTCCTCAGTGTCCCTCCTTCCCCGCTCTCAGCCCCTAGGACTGCCCCCAGCTCACTATGTGTAAGTCCCCAACCCCCCATCCCAGGCTAACTGCCGAGGCTGGAGGGTCAGGTGAGCAGAGCCCGCCAGAGTGTACACAACAGGGAAACTGAGGCTCTGCTCCAGGTTCCAGCCCCGCGAGCGTCCCAGGCTCACAAGTCACCCCCCTACCTTCGGGGTCCATGGGCTCAGGGGAGTCGGGCTCCATGTACGAGTCGTCCTCGTCCTCATGCTCATAGTCTGTGAGGCAAACAGAGGGTCAGCCTGAGGGTGGCCCAGGCCCCGCTGCACCCAGGCTGGGGTGGCAGGGAGGTGCCCTCTGAACACCGGCAGCCAAGAGTCAGGGAGGCACAGGGAGAGGACCAGGCGGGCCAGGTGTGAACCCAGGACCCAGGCTGCCTGGGGAAGACAGGCAGACAGATCAAGGACAGCCAGATACGTCTCCGCTCCTTGGCGGCAGCCAGAGAGGAAGGGCTGGTCCTGTCACGGCCAGCGGCCCAGGGTGGGGGCGGAGTGGGGGCTGCAGAGACAGGCCTCACCTTCATTGTCCGTGGGGTACGGAGAGAGGCTGATGTCCACAGGCCGCTCGATCGCCCCGTAGAAGCTGTCTGTGTCCGAGCTGGAGTCACTGAAGCATTGGGGAGGGGTGAGCATCGTGCAGGGGGAGTCCTTTGCACCCACACACATGGATACATACGTACAGAGACACACACAGGTGTGAACACATGCACAAACATGACACAGACACACACAGACGTGTACACAGAGCAGGACCTACACATAAACACACAGCGAGAAAAGACGTGGGGGCGCCTGGGGGGCTCAGTCGGTTGAGAGTCCAACTTCAGCTCAGGTCATAACCTCACTGTTCTCGAGTTCGAGCCCCGTGTCGGGCTCTGTGCTGACAGCTGGGAGCCTGGAGCTGCTTCCGATTCTGTCTCCCTCTCTCTGCCCCTCCCCCACTCATGAGTGCACGCTCTCTCTGTCTCTGTCTCTCAAAAATGAATAAACTTAAAAAAAAAAAAAAAAAGACACACAAGAATATGCTCCACACAAGGTGATAAAAACAGGCGCAGGGGCTGGAGGCCACGGGGCCTCCCCTGACCAACCACGGGCTCAGGGCCAGGAGCTCTGGGAGCAGGCAGGCACTTCTGGGACGACCTCAGATGTCCCCAGCCCCCTCTGGGCCTCAGTTTCCTCAGCTCGAAAAGACAGGATGGTCTTTGTTCCTGACCAGAGGGCCCCTGCTGCCTGCTGGGCCACCGAGGTGAGGTCACCGAGACCTGGATGGACCAGCTAGCGCTGGGGGGGGCTCACTCTGGTCTCAGGCCCAAGCACGCCAGGGTGACCGTCAGGGGCCTGGGAAGCCACAGCTCTGAGCTACCATGTGTGCTGGGCCTCTGGGTGGGCAGGTAAAATCACACAGCCCCTGAATGGCACACTCACTTACACACTCCAGGATACACACACACACACACACACACACACACACACAGCCTGGCTGGCTCCTTGAGAAAACTCGTCGAGAAGGGGATTCTGGGCCAGGCCCCCGGCGGCTGGGAGGCAGGCACACACGTGAAGCCCAGCGGCCTTGGTGACACCCTGCCCACGTCCCCCACGCCCAGGCCCACCTGGTGTCCGGGGGCAGCTCCTTCCTCTCGTGGAAGTGGCCGATCTCCCTGCGCAGCAAGGCCATCCAGCCCTGCGGGTGAGGCGGGGTCGCGGTGGGCACGGTGCCGCCCTGGGCCGGGGCCCCTCCCTTGCCCCGCCTGGCCTCACCACCCTGGCCAGCGGCCTTCCTGGGGCTCTGGCCTCGCCTCAGCCCGTTCAGGGCTCTTCCCGACACAGCTTCCGAGAGCGTGGCGCCGGAGCCAGGCCATGGCGCGAGGAGGAAGACCGAGGAGCAGCACCCACCCCACACCTTGCCCCCCACGTCCCCCCAGGGCCGGGAGGGTGGCCCTGCCAGCTCCCCACCCCTGGAGACGGCCTCACCTTGCGCTCGTCTTCAGAGGAGGCGGAGAAGAACCACGTGCGGTGCTTCTTGCTGACATGGACAATCTTGAAGGGGAAGACATTGTTGGACGTCGTCTCCTCCGCTGCCCGCATCACCCTGAGGGCACAGGGCCGGCAGTCAGCGCGTGAGCAGCACAGCCTGGCGGGCCTCGGCACCCGGCACCCAGCACGCCCCCAAGGACACACACAGGGCTCTGGGGTCAGGGAGGTCACCCTGGGAGCAGCAGGCGGGGCTCCAAACCAAGGACACGTCACCCTCGCTGCCCACCTCAGCCCCACCAGGCCCCTGGCCACGGGGGAGCCCATGGGGCCACGCACTCGGGGCAGGTGTGCCCATCTGCACCATCCCCTGGGGTCAGGGTGCACACCCACCGGGCTGAGGGTGGTGTGTCTGGGGAAAGGAAACACCCCGTCAGGAGTCGCGAGGCCCCCGGGCTCTTCCCCTCCTCAGCAGTGCCCGGGCCGGCCTTCAGGCCCAGCACCAAGCTCGTGGCCAGGGCACAAGCCAGGGCCTCGAGTCACTCTCAGTGTCACCGACACCATGGGACCCTTGGGTCCTCAGAAGCAAGGAAGTGGGAGGCATGGTCTAATGCCACAGGGTGCAGGGCCCATGGCATGACACTAGACCCAGAGCCCAGGGGTCACTGTTCACCCCCACTCTGCAGGCCCCCAACACCATAGCGCGGTCCCAGCTGGGGCTACTGGGCTCTCACTTGCCAGCATCCCCATCCAGAAGGCTCTGGCCCAGCACCCACCTGCCCATTAGCAGGGAGGCACTCATTGGACACACCCAGCCCATGGCATGTGTAAGGCAAGGAACTGGCCCAGGCCCGGATTGGGGGGGGGGGGGCCGGCGCCGAAGCCAGGGAGGCCTGAGGGAGACTGTGAGAAGGCCACACAGAGGCTGAGAGGGAGTGAAAGAGGCTGGACACGATCCAGAGGGGTGGGGTGTGAGCATCTCAGGAGAGCTGGAACTTTCCCCGGGCGGGAACCCGGGATAGGCCTGGCCGGGGCTCTGCTAGGGCCGGCGGGCAGCGGGCACCTACCGGTTATAGCCGTTCAGCGAGAAGGCGCCCTGCGGGGAGGCCGACGTGCTGCTCTTGAAGTAGTAGACACACCGCTTGTGGATGATGACAAAGCGCAGGGGCCCTGAGGGCAGGATGGCAAGGGCAGAGGGTGAGCCGGGGTGGGGGGAGGCAGGGGGCTGGGCAGACCCCACTCTGGGGGCCACACCTCCTGCCTTTGAACCCCACTAAATGGAAGGGCAGGAAGCTGGGCTGGCATGCTGCCCCTCCCAAGGAACCCAAATGTAAACAACCCACAGCCATGCTGACCAGCCCCAGGGCAGGGGCAGACCACAACCGACCGGAGAGGCTGGCTCAAAGAAGGGCAAAGCCAGGGCCAGAGGCCATGGCCGCCTCTTTCCGCCCTAGGAAGGAAGGCGGAGTGAGGGTGGGGCAAAGAGGCCCAAAGAGTTTGCCAATAAGAGCCACTGGGGGAGATCCGAACACCAGGCTAGACTGTCAGTCTGAGAACCCCACACTCCTGTCCTGTCCCCACGCAGTCCCTCCCAGGCCTCGGGGCAGATCAGTCACAGCCTCTCCTCGGAGGCTCCCTGCCCAAAGAGCAGAGCAGACCAACTGGAGTCATGCAGAGCCCGACAGCCCAGCCTGGGTACCTCTGTGAGGCAGCTCAGCGCCTGGGAGTCTATGGCAGAGGGCGCGGCTGGAACAAAGTCACGGGGAGCTCACGCCCGGGCAGAGGGACAGCCAAGGCCCTGATGCTCTTTGGCCTTTGATGTCTTGATGACTGGCCATCTCCCAGACCCGGGCTCCCACTCTCTCCCAAAATGCTGTCCAAGGGACCAGAGCTTTGGCCTCAGACAGCTCTGAAGGTCCAGCACACAGCTGGGTCTTGGCAGGTGGGTTCACTGAGGACCGAGTGACCACCAACTCACTGAACACCCAGGGGATGGCGCAAGGCCAGAGCAAGCAGGCCACCAGGGTCCCAGCCCCTGGCTGCTGCCCTGCACCAATGGTCAGCACTACGCACCAAGCGGCCTTCCTATCTCCATTTTGCAGTAGCACCCCAGATCGTCCCACAGTCCTGGGGAATGGGGAGACTGACCTCAGGCCCCCCCCAAGGGGTGCCGGCCACATGGAGGGAAGGCAAACTCTGGACGGCCCACCACCAGAAGCCTCTGAAGGAGGCAGAGGCTCAGAGGCAGATCACCTGCCCACAGACGTCCACCAGGGCAGAGGGTAGCCAGGCTGGGGCTCAGCCCCGTTCCCACATCCTCCCATCATGCTCCCCAGCCCCCAGAGGACTCACATCTGAGCAGCTGCAGCTGGGTGCCACCCTTCTTGTGCAGGTAGCCAGCCTTGGCCACGCCCCCGGGCATGGTCAGCAAGTTCTGGGCACCAATGGCCTTCATGGGGGCCGGCCAGTGCATCTCCTCGGCCGCCATGAAGCTGCAATAAAAAGGGAAGGAAACGGGTCTTAGCCAGGGCTGGGGGACAGATGACGGCACAGCTGGGGGCATGCGGTGGGAGATACTGCCAAGCTGCTGGAGACAGCATGAAGCCTCAAGACAGCAAGGGGTGAGGAAACTTCGGAAAGCCTCAGGTTTCCAGATGGAAGCTGGCCCCTGGTCTATTTGGCCACACACCTGAGCCCCAAAGACCCTGAGACCTGAGTGCGTCCCTTCGCTGTCACTGGTTTATCCGGCACACACCTACTGAATTCAAGTCCCCACGGAAGTGGTGGTACCACTGTGAGTGAATTCAAAAAACCACTGGCCCAGGGGGGCCTGGGTGTCTCACTTGATTAAGCGTCCAACTCTGCTCAGGTTATGACCTCACGTTTCATAATTTCAAGTCCGGTGTTGGGCCCTGTGCTGACAGCACCAAGCCTGCTTGGGATTCTCTCTCTCCTCTCTGCCCCTCCCCTGCTCCTGCTCTCTCTCTCAAAATGAAGAATTAAACATGAATGAAAGGAAGGAAGGAAGAAAGAAAAGGAAAAAAAGAGAAAAGAAAAGAAAAGAAAAAAGAAAAAAGAAAAGAAAAGAAAAAAAAAGAAATCACTGGCTTGGATAAGTCAGGCCTTGGGCCATGACCCCCGCAAACCTGAGTGCTACGTGAACCTATGATGGGGACCGCCAGGGAGGCCTTCCAGATGAGTAGGGCCACAGCCTAACAAAGTTAAGGAGCACAGGGGCTGGGCCAAGCCCTGGGCACCCTCTCCACCATCTCTGACCCTTTAGCAAGGAAGGAGTGAGGGGCATGGCCCCCAAATGCCCCCTCCCCCCGCTCCTGCCTGCCCTTAGCCAGCTTCCGTCCATCCCTTCCTTAAGGCCCTGAGACCAGGAAGCAGGAAAGCAGGTGGTCCAGAGTCCCCAGTTCCCATCTTGGCTTGGCTTTCTGGGGGACCCCTACGCCTCAGTTGCTGGAACTGCAGAATGGAAGCACAGAGTGGGCACAGCTGGCACACAGCACGCCCTTATTGGTAGTGGCCATGATGACCGTCCACCCCGTCTCCCCATCAGCCGGGACATCACTCGGGCAGGGACCACGCAGCGCACAGTCACCAGGGGCAGGCTGACTGCCTCAGGGCTAACTCGGCCCCCAGGACCTGACAATCCAAGCGCCAGCATCGCCCCTCACCCTGGGCCAGCCTCTGTTCACCTGAGCCGTTCTCCCTGAAACATGCCAGGCTCTGGCCTCTGCCTGGAATGACTGACCACTACCCCTTCTCACAGGAAGAACTCCTATCCATCCTTCAAGACCCAGGTCCTGAGTCCCCTCTTCTGTGAGGCACTCAAGGCCCACTCATTCCCACCGGCCACTGGTCCCTCGGGGCAGGCCCCACCCTGCACTGGTTTGCCTGTGCCTGCCCCCACTGACCCCGGTCCCTCCCGGGGCCCTAGTGGAGACGGACTGAACTGGGTGTGCGTCAGTGTCCCACTGAGTCAGAGCGTTAGACCCAGGCCCGACCGCCGGACCCCTGCCACTCCAGCTCCCGCTCCCAAATACACACACAAAGAAAACCACTGCTGCGGGCAAACCGGCACCCCCACCAAGTGTGCGCCTCCCCCAGGCACCGGGCTGCGCCCCCGCCCCCGCCCGGGTCCCTCAGGCTGCCCCCCTCCGGCTCCCTCTGCACAGAACCAACCCCTCCGGCCTGGGTACCGACCACAGCGGAGGCTGGGCACAAAGGCGCGGCCCCCGCGGCCCCCGCGGCCCCGGCCGGAGCCCCGCGCCCCGCCCGCCCGGCCCACGCCCGCCTTTGTTCCCGCAGGAAGCGGGGCTCGGCACTCACGGCGTCCACGCGGCGGGCCGCCTCCCCTGCGCGCAGCGACACGGCCCCGCGCCCGGGCCCCCGGCGCCCGCACCCCGCCCGCCCCAGCCCCAGCCCCGCCGCCCGCGCCCCGCGCCCGCCATGCCGCGCGCCCCGCCGCCGCCGCCGCCACGCCCCCCGCGGCCCCCGGCTCCTCCCCCCGCGGGCGGGGCGGGCGCGGCAGGTGGGGGCCCGGCGCTCGGCGCGGGGCCGCAGGTTGCCCTCCTGCCCGCGCGGGACGGGGGCGCGGGGCGCGAAGCGGGCGTCTACAGTACGGCCCGGGCTCCCGACGCCCGCGAAGCGAAGCAGGCCGCCCGCGTCACCGCGCACACACACGGCCGGGCTCCGGGCTGCTCCTCCCTGAGCCTCCGTCTGCGGGTCTGCAGACGGGGGTGAGGGCCGCCCCGCCTCCGAGGGTTGCGGTGGGCTTGACGCGGGTGTGGCTTGCAGGCTCTGGGGCCCGGCATGGGTCTGTGGGTCCTCTTGCGGCAAGTAGCTTCACCCCTGCACAGCCATGCGCCTCCACCCCTGCATTCCCTGCAGGGGTCAGAGGTCCAGTAGACGTGGGCTCCTCTCCTAGGGGACCCTCAGGCTGGGGGGTGTGATGGCCTGCTGCCCCCCACCCCCGAGCATCTACCTCCTCTGCGCCCCCCCCCCCCACACCCTGCAGAGGAATGGGCCAGCCGGGGCAGAAGGTAGCTCTGACAGCTTGGGCCCTGCGCCCACCCAGCTACACACCGGGCACCACTCCCTGCCTTCCTGGCTGGCCCTCCATGCCCCTCCGCTCCAGCAAGAGGCTCCACCCCATCTGTGTGTCCCCGTCCACAGTGTCCTTACCAATCCCTCCCCTGGCAGCACGCTCAGTCCTCCAGGCCACCACCTCCCCTGCTCCTCTCCACCACCTCTGGGCAGTCCCCACCACCTGGGTCAGTTCCCCTGCTTACAGTACCCCTCATCACCGTCACTCAGCACCCCCACCCACACAAGCCATTCCCATCACCACGGGTTCCAGAGCTCCAGGGCCTTCCAGAACCAGCCCCCATGGGTCTTTCTCAGGGGTCCCTGTGCACTCCACCTCCCACGCACCTGTGCCATCCAGACTCTGCAGTTCCCCAATCCAAGACCCCAAACCACCAAGCACCACCTCCAGGCTGCAGTCTACACTGTTTCCACTGCCTCCACTGAACTAAGTCTGCCCTAAAGAATTGGTTCAAATGAACACCGATCCTTCATTAACTTCTCCCAAAACAGGAGAGGAAGGAACTCACTCTATCAGGCCAGCATTACTCCAACACCAAAGCCAAAGGCACCACAAGAAAACTAGATCCACTTCCCTTATGACTGTAGACGCAGAAACTCCCCCAAAATACAAGCGAATGGCCCTCCGCACCATGTGAAAAGGCTCCGCACCATGCCAGTGGGAGCTATTGCAGGAAGGCAAGCGTAACACTTACAATTCAGTGACTGTAATAAATCTAATTAAATCATATTAATCAAAAGACAGAAAACGCATGGGCATCTCAACACACATAGAAAAAGCACTTGACAAAAATTTGACAATTTTTCATAAGAACAACACTCAACAAACCGGGAATAGGAGAAAACATCCTCAACATGGTAAAGGGTGTTTATGAAAGATCCACAGCCAACATCATCCTCAAGAGTAAAAGACTGAAAGCTTTTTCCTAAGAACAGGGACGAGGCAAAGACGTCTGCTCTTTCCACTTTCACTCAACCTTGTGCGTCAGGTACTAGCCAGTGCAATTACGCAAGAAAAAGTAATAAAAGGCATCCAGATTGGAAATGAAGAAATAATGCTATTCACAATTAGATGGTTATGTATACAGAAAATTCCAAAGAACCCACTAAACAATTATTAGAACTCACAAACGAGCTGGCAGGATAGAAGACCAAAACGCAAAAACCAGCCGTACTTCTATATGCCCGCAACGAACAATCCAAAAACGAGAGTTAGCTCAGGTGTTCGCTCTTTCAGGTCCTCCCTGACCTCTCGGGGTCCTGTGTCTCTCTGTGGCGTTAGCACACGCTGCCCTCCACCTAACGCTGACCACACCGGCTTGTCACTGTGCCCCATCTTCAGCAGCTCAGGCCCAGCACAGAGGGGGCACCCAGGGAGCCCCAAGCCCTGGTGGGGGGTGGGGACTGCAGTTGCGTGGAAGGCACAGAGTGCCAAACTATCCCCCCCCCCCCACCCTGATGTACCGCATCCTCCCGGGCTGAGAGGAGGCGGGCGCGTGTGCGGGGGAGGGGCAGCTACCGTGAGGACGTGCGGAGCCCACCGCCCCCTCCCCCGGCCCCAGGCCTGTGGGGAACTGGAGGGGAGGAGCCAGGGCAGGATGCGGCCGCACTCGGGCCCAGCTCAGTGGCCAGGCAGGCGCAGGCCGTGAGAGCCTCACTCCTGCCGGGCCGCAGCCTCTCTGTGGGCAGGAGGAAGGCTCCCTCAGGCGGCCGCTGACTAACCTGGGTGTGAAGAGCGGGTGGTGACAGAATCTGGTCGTGCTCTACCTTCACCTCCCCGAGGAACGTCCTCGCTGCAGGGACAGGTGCCGACGTCCTCAGCTCCTCTCCAGACGGACTACCCAGGGGGAAACCACCCCGAGGCCCCCAAACCCTCCGACCCCACCTGGGCCCGCCCTGCAGCTGTGGGCCCAGCGCCAGACTGGAGCAGGGAAAGGGAAGGAAATGGTAGCTGAGGGCAAGGGTGGCGATGGGCCATGGTGGCTGTGGCGACCACACAGATTTGGGGGACTTTCAGCCCAGTTCCAAGACTCCAGCTCCCCTGGTGCCCGGGAAAATTGAGGGGAGCTCCCAAGAGACTCCCACATTCCTGGCCAACCCGGCCTCCCCGGCTGCCTCCTCAACGCTTGCGGTGTCGCCCCCTGATGGTTTAACTCCACTCATTCATTCCATGGGCTCATGGGGGTGGGAAGCCTCAGTCCCTTCCTCTGCAGGGGCAGAGGCAGCAGTAGGGGCCCCTCACTGTGCTGCTGGGGGGACCCGCTGAGCCACCCCGGGTGGGAGCTGTCAGGGGCAGTGCTGGAGGCCTGGGTTCAAATCCCACCAGGCCTGATCTCCTCCACTTCCTCTCCTTTACAGTGAGCGCAGCAAGTCCAGT